GAGGAATCAAGAAAATATGTCAAGCTGTGCATGTGTGTAAAAATAGTACAGGCAGTATTTGAGTGGCAGATACTCTGTATCGGATGAGGATGATCTGTGAAGAAACGGTTTAACTGTAAAATTCTGAACAAAACTTTAAAAAGTTGGAACGTCAAGGAAAGACATAGGTGCTTCAGAGTTGCTTATCCTGTGAAAGCGGGGTTATGTTATAAAAGAAAGTAAAACCTTAACAAAGGAAATTATACAACGAGAGAAATTCTTAAAAAAAATAAATGTCAAGTATTAGATAAGGGTTTAATAAATTGTAATTTTACTATAATTTGTCAAATATATGGGGATAGTATTTTTAAGAATTTCTCGACACTATGTTTTGACGTTACATTGCCGTTAAGTGTGCTCTGCGGGTATAAAACATGTTGATTTTAACATGACGTAAATTGATTTCTGTTAAATCGAATGAAATGAAACTTCATACATCAACAAAGCAAATATTTTTATACATTATAATGTGCTTATTTTAAATTTCTAGTGAGTAATAAAAAGAGTAATATAAAGAGGATTGACATCGTCCACGAACTTTTCGAACAACCCTCGTATATCTCATTTACAGGATAAAGTTTATCTATGCAATCGATTCAAAATCTTTTGCAGATATCTTCTCTGTCTTCATTCATTTTAATTGTCAGACATTACCCTTTGCCAAATGCATAATTATTATGCATTTTAAAGTGCATTTTTAAGAATGTCAAGATTTTTTTCTTGTCGAATAAATAAGAACAAACACCTATTATTCTCAGAAGTCTATTGTCAAACAATTCAAATTTATGACAGAGCAATCACTGGATTTTGAAACAAAGATGGGTACAAGTATCTCGGAGAAGTAACCATCACTAGACTTTTAAAACTGTTCGAAAGCAAACAAGATTTTAAAACACCACATTTTAAAGCGGAAAAATATCTATTGATTTTAATGGTTTTGGAATTTAATTTAAACCTGGATCAAGTAAAAGAAAGCACCAGACAGTTTTATTCAATTGGGATTTACATGCATAATAAAAGAAAACATTTGAAAACAAATGAAATGTCTTATAAACTGTACCAAATTTATCAGAATCTTTCTATGAGAAAGTTGCTTTTAGTAAAATGCACCATATTTTTTTTTAAACTTGATTGCGTTCAAGGATTGTCCAACAATTTTGAAAATAAAGTAATTGATCATCACTAGTGAAACACTGGTTTTTATTTTAAATTCAACTTAGTTTTATGAAATATCTATAATTTTTGAGATTGCAAAAATATTAATAATGATTTGTTTCCAAGATGTAATTCATCAAAACTTCCTTATGCATATGTTTTTTTTTTAATTCTTTTGTAGTTGTTATTTATAATTAAAGGATTATTTTACCCAATAAACACAGTTTTGCGTCCTTCATAAACGCTACAATTTATTTCAAGTTGACAAGTTGATGGGCACATAAATTAAATTTAACTTTGTTCCAAGACTCATTACGCAATCAGTAGACTTTTTTCGAAGGAAACACAAGTGTTTACGTACTGAGGATTGAACTTATCCAAATGTTGTATTTACTTGCAGGATGCGACAACTACATGTTATATGTATATGTAATTCAGTCAATAAAATACACAAATTGGAATAATAATTAAATGGACAAAATATATATATCTACTAATCAAGCACCTGTCAGTACAAAGGTATGCCTTAGGGCAATATACTGTTAAAACTAAAAATTCAGGAAACAAACTAATAAAAAAGTGATCATTTACACTTATTTTAAAATAGTTAAGATGTATACGTTTTTCAATGTACGAAGGGGAGAATTAAAACAACATAAGGAAAGCAAAGAAAAAATATCAATATTCTAAACAGTCATGATGTGAAGTTTAATTTTACACGTACAAAAGAAAGTTATATAGAGAGCGTTGTAATTTTAATTTGAAAGAAGATATTGAAAAATATTCCCGTTGAAGAAATATATCGATACATGTTTTATTTATACATTGTCAAAATTTAAAGGCTAGTACATATCCTCTGGTACTCCTTTGACGTGCTTTCATAGTTCATGTTCATTACAATAGGCTCTACATAATTCTCTTCCTCTGATCCATTTCCAATTGTATTTGCGCTTTCTGTAATGGTTATAAGACGAAAACTGTCCATTATGTCAGATATTAGACGACCCGAGGCGCGTTAGCGCCGAGGAGAGTCTAATATCTGACATAATGGTCAGTTTGAGGCTTATAACTTACTTAAAACATTTCACCATTGTCGAACACTTCCATTGTTAACTTATTGGACAGCCACAGGTAAGGTCTCATTCTGCTTGGATGACTACCTGGCACTGTTCATCAAGTTAGGCCAAAGAAAACCAGTTTTGGTTTTTCTTCTGATTTTATTAATAGTAGGAATCATCGAGAGGTGTTTTATATCGATAAATATGAACATTAACTTTGTTTAGTCTTATTTGTCCGCATTGCGACATTTTTTATCTATACTACGCATGCGTAAAAGTCAGTTCTACTAAATTCTTGACAATTTATTCATTTTACAACGCAGCGACGACGGATGACGACGTGCGTTTTGATTTTGAAAAAATACTTTCAGAATCGGGTGTTTTTTCGATGCCATTTATCGATTACACCAAAATACCTCAGTTCAAGTTTTTACCATGAAATCCGGATACATATTCTTATGTTTCGGAGTTTCCCGTTAACAGGTAACTTTTGTAAAGCAATAGGATTTGAAGTATTTTACTCCTACATTTTTGAAATTCGGAGATTATTTCTGGTGTATTTTTTTTTTAAATGCAACACCTTCTCTTTTGTGTGCAGGTTTCGAACTCGGAAGGATTTTACCCCAGTCACTCCTTAAAACAACGACAGACACTCGCTCAAACGACGCAGGACTAGGTGGACAAATGGTAATAAATCACTGAACGAAATTACAGATTCTGTTGGAATTTCGTGAGCGAAATTTTGTGCTAAATGCGGAAAAATGGATATTTCAATAAACAAAAAGCCCAAGGTTGTGTGTAAGAAAATGCATTCTTCTCATTCATTCTTTGTGTCCATTGGATTCTATATTATGTTCCGTGAATCAAGCATTGGGAAATGAATCTATTATATAGCAATGAACGGTGAATTCAGGAACTTTATGATCGGAGCCACGGATGCGTCTACAATAATTAATCTGAGACATTCAATTCACTGGATTTTTTGTGCCATTTTCAATAGGATTTTTTGTGAAATATTAACATTTAACGCTACTATTTTCCTACGTTGTTCATATTAAATTGTTTGATTTGTCATTGCCTTTTAAGTGCTGTTTACTTATTTGCCTCGCTCTTTGTTCTCATTTTAACGTTACCTGTACCTGTCCAATAAGTTGAAACTTATTGGACACCTACAGGTAACTTATTGGACGGGGTGCAGGACAATAACAAATTTATTGAACCAGGTTTAACAAAAGATGACGTCACAGAAATGTTTTAATCGTTTTTATTGTCCAGTACGTCAACATAAAATGTGTTTCGCTTTTTCTATTAACTTATTGATTTGTGTCCATATGTACAACCCTTTTCCATTTTGCAAAAAATCCTTCAATCCATAATTTTTGGACAGAAATAGCCAAAAGGATAAGGGAAAGGATCACCTCAAAGACAATGAGTACCGGTTTGGAGGGATCTGCATGAAATTGATCAAAGAAATCATTTTAAATTATTGTTGAAAGAATAATCATAAACAAACAGTTAAGTCTGTTAACTCCAGAGAAGGCTGGTTAAAAAAATACATAAAGCAGATCGGACAACTATCCAAATAAAATAAATTAAACATTTTAAACAATCAAAGGACATAGATGTTCTCAAAGCCATATCATACATGTACTATTAGGCAAAATTTCCAATTATACGAGGGTACAGTTTCGGAATTGCAAAAGTTTAATCGTATAGATCTTATGAGATTAAGTTGTATTTATAATAAGAAAAAATACCTCCTTTTTCAATGCTGACACAGCCGACGATTTTATTACAGTATATTTCAGTGCAATCACATTGTTGTTGACAAAGGCGGCCATAACTAGGGTAGCGGCATTGTAAAGAACAATTTGGTCCCGTAAGTCCAATGGAGCGTTCTAATTCAAGAAAGACAAAAAAGAAATAAATTTACAGGGGTGGGGGGGTGGGGTGGAAATTTGCAACTAGATATTGTTCCTTGAGGTATCAAACGCATCCTTTCTATCCTACAATTTAAGGAAAGTGGGTATGATTTCAAAACTTCAATTTTCGTGAATCAGTTATGCATGTTTTTTTGTGAATAATCATAAGCTCACTGCAGATAAAGGAAGCTTTGTCCCAGTTTGTATTAAACTTAACACAAGGAGTGACATGAGATAAAATTAATAAATACAGTTTCTCAGAAAGCTTGTAAAAGGATTTCATTTTCTCACTGACCGTGGCTTTCGTGAAAACAGTTTTAATAATCCTTATTTTCTTTTTTTTTCTTTCCATTATTCTTTAGTGAGAAAGAACAAGAAAAAACTGATAAAAATGAAGGCATTTAAATAGTAATGATTGTTGGAATTTTAAAATATCAATCGCAGTCCTTATAAAATTATATCTGATATGATCTGTAGGATTCATAATGGTATATTACCTTCGCATTTACTCCCCTTAAAATTGTACATATATCCCGTGCAGCAATCACCAAGCGATGCTCTACAGAATTAAGAAAAATTGAAATTGATACAGGCATTTAACAGTTGGTATTACAAAGCAACTTTTCATTTTGTTTATTCCAGCCTGAAAAAGAAATACAAAAAACAACTCAAAGAACTAGAGTGTTCATTTAGAGGATAAAAGGAGATGAAGGATACAATGCGTAATGCAATCATTTCGGATTTCTTTTACATCTAAATGTAATGTCTGACTTAAGACAATCAAAAAAAAAAAAAATATAACATAATGAAAAACTTTAAAATTTGAAATTATAATTATTAACTCTTGATCATGAAACTGTATACATAGAAAAATGCTTTCAACTTCTCTTGAAAAAAAAAAACAAATTTGAATTGAAAAAGTTATTCTTACCTTTTACATGTTCCCACGACTTCTCTTAAGATCAAGAATATGAACTCAAGATACATAATTATATTCTAAAACTGACCATGCCCGTAGACTTTCCATGAGTAAACGATTCATGCACAAATTAATAACGAAATTTGTTGAACAAAATAGTTTGAATCTTATTCCGAGATGCAATTCTAACTTATGATGACCAAAGAGGAAATTTACAGCTGTAAGGAAGTAGGGAAAATATTATTTGTATTTTGCAACAAAAATGTCAAGTAAAGCACATGGTTGCTTAAAATACCCTCTCTCCCTTCTCTTTCTCACTAAAAATAAAAGAAGGTTACCGTGCGCTCTATGTCAATTTCTAGTTGTTTTTTTTTATTATTATTATCATCAGAACTGGATATTTAGATAACCACATGTTTTTTGATCAAATTTGAAACCTTTATTTGTGTTCTTAACTTATTATTTCTTTTACCAGCTAAAGATCAAAACATAGAGACTTGATGAGTGTGACTGAACACTAAGAAATGTTTATTCTTTCAAAGTATTCATGTCGCTGCCTTACATTTGTCCTGTGTTAATGTATTGTGCATAGATTTGTATTTTAAAAAAATCATTGAAATCGGTCACTGTTCATTACCTATACATTTTTTCTGTATCAGAGATATCTATTTCTTTATTTTACATTTCTTCTTTTTTCATTTTCCGATCTTAAATCATGATTTCCGCCAAAAATGGCTAATATGATACTTCCTAGGTGTAAGTCATTTATTTCTCAATAAGGTAGTTTACTTGTGCACACACACACACAGAGAGAGAGAGAGAGAGAGAGAGAGAGAGAGAGAGAGAGAGAGAGAGAGAGAGAGAGAGAGATATGATAAATAATCTGCTCTGAATGCAAAAACAAGTTGTTTACATTTCCTAAAGGTAAAGCCTATAATTCTCGACTGCGTTTGCCTTCTAATTTCTGACATTTCTTTTAAAAAACAAATAGTTCTAGGCATGGACATGAAACATCATTAACATTAAATAGATAAATGGCGCTTCGTATGCATGTTTTTAAATGATAGCTTTTGATTAAAATTAATTAATCAGGATTCCTTTTTCCAAACATTTATTTATTCTGTAGATATCTAGATTCATTACATTTACATTCTATCAAACAAAGGAAAGTCAAAATATCACTCTAATCGACTTATTTATAAAACCACGATTTTAAACATAAAGGAACAAACTCGAAATGTTTCACTGGTAAATAAAAACATCAAGAAATGAAATGCAAAAATTTTTAACGACTTTTGATAAATTTGAACCGAGGCTTATGGATCGTTTCAAATGTATCGAGAGGACTATCGCAAGATGAAAAAGGAATGTAAATCAAAGAGCTCAGTTCAGGTTATGCATAAAATGACCATGTAGATATACAAATTTGATTGATAAACACTTGATGTTCCATTGGAGGCATTAAAATGAAATAGAGACTTGGTGCTTTTATTTTCTTTTAAAAAATTTCTCCTTAAAAACCGGGTCTTGATGAACAGGCTTTTTGAATTTTGCGTTGTTATTAAATTTTAAGGTAATTAGGAATATTTAAGGACTTTCAATGAAAAAAAAATCATATGAGTGCACTCTCTGATAAAAAAAAAATTAAAAATGTCTTTTTATCCTCAGAAATAGTTCTATCATTTTTAAATTTATCAAAGATGAGAGTTTGCGCTCTATAAAAAATATCGAAAAATAGCTTTAAAAATTGGCAGATTTTGTAAACTTTTTCTGAATAAGAGGAAATTGACGCATTTTGTGACATGATAATGCATTGACAAGCCAGAAAATTTCGTCATATCTCTTTAAATAACAGAAATATCGTAGATTGAAAATGATATGTTTTTAAAGCCAACAAAATAGCACATCAAATTTGTTTATAAACATGTGTAATGTTCTGCATTACAGCATACGTGTTTTTAATTTAAAATTGGTAAAATACATGTATACGTACATTGTTTTTTCATGATCAAGTCTTTGTGATATTGTTTTAGTCTCTAAACTTCATTGATATATTGATGTTCTTTGTCCTTAATGCTAGCCGTCTCAGGAATAACACAATGCCTAATATATAATATACAATGATTATATTTTGCTGGATTATCGAGTTTGATCTTATAAACATTTTTCATTAAGTTCCAAATAAAAACCGCACTGTATTGTATTGTATATGCTTATATTCTTTTTAAATTTTTGTGCATTTATTTGAAAGGAGTCATTTCTTTTCATAAAATTCATGTAGAACCCATAAAAACAAAGTAACAGCAAACCGGAGTATCCCATTGCAAAGAGCATATCTATCAATCAGGGCAGCATTTGACGTCGATCCCGATGCAAATTGTGTCACATCATTTTCGGAAAAGACATATATGTAATCAACAATCAAATGGATATTTGAAATAATATTTCCCATACATCTCATTGAAGACGATGATAAATAGGTCAGACTTTTGCCAAGCAATGCTAACGATTGGGCCTTCGATTTAATTCCCACTAAAAGGAACCACACTGTTAAGAAATTTCTTTATTTTTATTTTCTTTATGAGAGAGAGGGAGATAGAGAGAAAGAGAGGATAAAAATTGAAAATATAATATTACTACGGACTCTTTCTTAAAAAAAGAAAAGAAAAGAAACGTGAATTTGAAATATATACATCCACAAGTAATTTTAAAGTGACTTCATTCTTTCCTCATTTTTAATTAAGACATCTGATTATCATTCTAAAAGTTATACACTTTTTTCAAACAGTCAAAACATATAACATTTTAGACAGCGTTTCGTCATTTCAAAGCATCGTAGAAGTGATTCGATTCTCGATTTTCGGGCTTATTTCCTTTAGTAAAGAAATTGAGCCTGTTGATGTAATTATTTTCTGAAGGGAAAATGTCTCTCCTACTTTCACCTGTCTTCCACCCATCAATAGATTCGTAAAAGTGTTCCTTTGTGTCTTCATTTTCTATGGTTCTATTCAACTTTCTCTCAATTTGAGCCTCCTCCGATCTTTGAACGATCTTAGGATTAACCTTTTTCCAGATTATTCGTCCAACAAAAGCAGACATCACGAATCCCAAGAAAGGTATGACACCGATGAGAATTGGTGTTAACTGGGACGCCGTAATCAAATTTTCGTTCTCCTCGTTTGAGTCAGTGGATTTATTTTCTTGGAGCATCACTTCTTGATTTTGTAAATTATGATTGAAATCTATATCATTGAAAAGTAAATTATTAGTAAAAATTGTCAGGATTCTCCATCGTTTGAAATTTTACTGTGTTGCAGGGTTTACACCAAAAAATCACTAATTGTAACATAAAAAAATATGGTCGTACATATTGACAAAAGTAAAACACATGTTCTGAAAAGCAGAGAAATTCTGGTGGATACAGTCAACCTACATACCATTTTTGAAAGTAACGTTGCCGTGATTTTTTGTCAGTTTTCTTTATCGAATTACCGTATAAAAAGAAACTTTAGAATAGTAAAATACTTTAAGAGTTCTTAGAATTTTGAAACAATTTATGACATCAAATATATGATTTCGGTACGATGTTTGACGTACAGTGCCAACATAATTCTAGAGCCGTAGCTCTAAAGATATGACATTTTTATATATTTAAAAAAAAAATACAATGTATTTTTACAACTTCCAATTGACCGTTACATGTAAGTGTGAAAACAAATTATTTATTTTTGTTCCGTCATGCGTCAGGTTAGGTGAGGGTTTTGGAGATAACTGATTAATATGCAAGATGAAGCCCTAAGCAAGTAATCTACCTTGCAGAATTGAAAGACGGTAGAATCGTATGATTAAAGTTTCAGTTAGAGATTTTATTTTTGTGGATTTTCTGATTATCAATGATGTTACTGTGTCGGAAAAAAATTACTGTTTCGCACGCATAAAATTTGAATCCTTACAGTGTCGGAGAAATTTTTACTGTGTTAGGATCAACACAGTAAAACAGCTCATGGAGAATTCTGAGATTGTAATTAATCTCTTTCAAACAAAAAAAAAGGTGGAGTCGAATTTTCGTGGTTTAAGAAAAATATATTGGTTCATGGGAATTTGATTTCGTGGTTGATGAATTGTTCAGTAATAATGTATGTGAAAAATCGCATTTCCTGGTAGACATGAATGTGTCTGTCGTTTCATACCTTGAAAACAACGAAAATGAAACACACATGAATATTATTTGTTAAATAAAAAATCAAAAGCAAAGGATTATATAACTTCAGGAGCTTTTTAAAGAAGGATGGCCATTAGCTTAAGGGCCACCAGAGTATACCTTATCTATGTTAAAGTGCCTTTGATATGAAACAATATAATTTGAAACACTTCCCTGTTTAGCCAGTGAGAGTTTTTTTTTTTCATTGAGCTAAGCAAAAGCATCTAATGTTATCTTTTCAAACTTAATTCAAATTCTATTTTTTGCACAGCTTAAGTTTACTATGGAAAGTAACAAGGTTTATGTTGGTTCTTTTTAAAAATTTAAAAATCACCGTCAAAAAAATATTTTAAATGTTTATAAAAAAACATATCTGTAAAACTTCAGCATATGACGCATTAAACTGATCCTTTTAAAATACAATATGACATTAAATTTAGTAGTAGCCAAGTTAATTAATCATAAAAGAGATTCAATGTTAATTATTGGATATAAGATAGAAATAAGCATTAATAATGTCAACAATATTCAAGACATCCTTTGCTTTTCGATGAATTATCATCATTCTTGTTAAAATAAACCATAATAGGAACACAATTCCAATATGTATTATTATAAGGATTTTTAGCAACATGGAATGGGAAGTCCCCTTAAGTTTCAGTTTTTTGTGACATATCATTGTTCGTTTATTCTTTATAAGTATGATTTCAAAATATTAAGCAGTGAATACAAAACAGTCTGAATAACTTTGATATAAATGTCTAATTTAAATGCCGCATTGTACTTGTGTTTAGATGACAACTTTATTAAACTTCATGTTTGATATTGTAAATACATAATTGAATCCATGAAATCTAACGCAGATCAGTATAACACATATAAGGAATTTACCTCTGGTGTTGACACAACCACTCCGATAATCGCAATATTCTTTGTTACAAAAGCATACATTTTGACAAAATTTTCCATATCCCGGGTACCGACACCTATGTAAGCAATTTCTTCCAAAATAACCTGGGGGACATTCTGAAAATACAGAGGAAACACAACCTAATTACACAAAGAAGTAGTTATGATAATTTAGGTCCCGAGTGAAGTATTTTTATTTTTACATATTAAGTAAAAAAAATCAGTGTATGAATAATGATAAAAGTATTGGTTTTAAATAAAGGATAAATTATTTGCATTCTAAAAAAAATACCTTTGCACACATTTTCTTTCTCGTCGAAAAAATACCCACCACATGAGCAAGTCTCTTCCTAATTCCCACTGTTAAACAAACAATTTCTCGAAATTAAAAAAATGAAAATTACACTTATTGTTTACACCGTTTTTTTTTTCTTTGAAAAACATATATCTTTTCCTAAGGTACTCACATTTGGCAGCCCTTTACGATGGATAGAAAGGCAACATTTATAATGATAAACGGTTTTATTCGAGAAATATTGATCGATCTATGTCTGGCAAACATTTTGAAATGCATTTTTACGTCCTTGTAGATGGAATCATGACAGAAGAAGGTATTTATATATGTCCATACATAGAAAATTAAAACAACATACAGTATGCTTTTACGTCAAAAATACAAATTCAAATAATAATTATTTAAATATAAAAAAAAACATTTAATCTTAGCGTGTTTATTTCCCTCTATTGAGGAATTTAAACTTAATTTTTTTTCCTTTTCCCAATCTTTTTGAATCATCATTGATGCTTGAACGTCTTTTTTGAGAATTAATGTATTGCAAAAGATTTGTTTTTTGGTTGTCTGATTTTTTTTTTGGTGCAAAAATGCGGTCTTTGAAGGTTGCAAATAGATTATATGACCTAGAGTTAAAATGTCAAAAATGATTTTCGGATTGAAATTATAATTTTCGTAATTGAACAAGACATAACTATAACATAAAATCAAAATACATTCAATATGTTGTTTTTATATAAATTAAATGACATATTATGCAAATGATGAAACTATTACTTTAAAAAAGGGAAATTATTGAAACAGTGACAAAAACTGACGGAGAAAAACGATGTCAGCCTATTACTGACGTCCTCACATGCCTTAACACTACCTTTTATTTTATGAAAATGCTTTTCTCTATGCATAACAATAATGATAAGTGTAGAGCAGCGTCGATCTATGACCTTTAGTTTATACATTGGGTGTTAATACTTATATTATCGTGTATTTTATATGTTTTGAAAATATATTTATTATTATCATCACACATACATAGATCGTTAACATTATAAAAGAAAAGCATGAGTCTAGATGTCAAATATCAAATTTTCAAAACAAATTCATATTGTAGGTGCTATCTTGAAACAAATTCTACGTCAGACTGGGTCCTGCGACTGCATATAGGATCTACTTACACCTATAATATTTGTGAATGAGTGTTTCTCATTTTTTTCGCATTATTTGCAAGCAGAAAAAAACATGCAACCAGGAATAAAACGATTCTTTATATGTTTCTTACAATACAATGCTTATCTCAATGAATGCAGTTAGATTAATTTAGGATGTAACACAGTGCATGTTCTTTGATAAGCATTTATTAAATGTACATTGGGTTTAAAAGAACATAAGTAAATTAGTTGAATTGAAGTGGGGAATAATCATGAACCGACATTTTCATCATCACACTTCCAAAGGATGCAAATGCTAAAGTATATATATTTTCTGTCTCTCTTATGTTGGTAACTTCAGCATTCTTTTTCAAAGTATTTGTTTTCTTTTTCTCCATGTTTCTTTCAAATCGTGTTGGATTTTCGTCCTCAATCATTTGCAGATCTTCATTTATAGGATTAACATCTTCCATTGCGTGATTCTGAGGGCCTACCCCTAATGGAAATTCGTCCACCACATTATGCAAGTTATTTTCTTCAAAGGAAGCAGAAGTATCTGCTTGTGCTGCAGTACGCCTAGTTTTTCGACGAATGAGAAGAAGTTTTGAAAAAAATAAAAATAAAGGAAATATTAACGCTAAAACTATGATAGTTACTACTGTTATTATAGTTGTACGTTCCGTAACAGTAACAGACCCAGATGACAAGTTTTCCTCATTGTAATTGGTCGAATTCTCTGCAAAGAAAAAGTACAGAATTGTTATATGTATTCAAAGTTGACATTTAGAGGGATTAGTTAATATTTTTGCTATGCCATAAAAGGTTTCAAATATAAAGCCGAATTCAAAATAGAGCACAAAATTATGTGGGGTATATTTTGCGTGTTCAATTTCGAACTGAAGATTAATTTTAACAAAAGGCCCATGGACCATAATACATGTAATCACCTGTGTAACTTTTTGTTCGTCATAAAAGGACAATTGCACTTAAGCAATGCTTAATGGGCCCTTTTTATGTGCCATTTTACTTTAGAATATATTACCAAATCGTTCTCTTTTGGAAATAGTTAGATACTAATAGGTATTTCTAATTAAAAAGCACGATAAGCATTACCTTAATCAGCATGGATTTGAAAAAATTGAATATTTTTAAATGCCTATGGACACCCTACAAATCCGGAAAAGTTGTACCGAACCTTCTTTTAGTTTTGTTTATGTAAAAATCAAGGCGAATAGATATTTAAATCGACTCTTGAACAATCTGATGGTGGATCATACTCAGGCGCGTTTGTGGAATTTAACTTTTAAAAAAAAAAATTGAAAGAAGTTGTGTAGTTGCCTGAAGCCATAATAATCAAACTAAGAAATTGGTACTCTTGCATTTGAAAAAAATATATACAATAAAAGTTTCATTTAATTTGAAATCTAAAAGGAGTGTTCAGGTGGCTTTCAATACCTGTTTCGTTGTCTTGTATAAATGTTAAAAATGTCTGACACTTTTATGAATGGCGCTAAACTCTCTTTACCCTAACGTAATCTTAAATATAAATACATACAAATATTTCTAAGCGGCGAGACTGACTAAATGATAAAAAAAAACTGCCGATGTTATACAGTGAGCACCTTTGAGGAATGTTTACCTGGGTAGAACTCACGTGACCAAAAGTATTTTAAATAATTTATGCCACTATTGAGTTCAACATGGGTCATACAGGTAAATACCTCTCACTTGCTATAGGAAAAACATTGTACTTTTTGTACATTTTTAATATTTTAACTACCAGCCTAATCGTGTACAAATTTCCTACTTTCACACAAGTTTTATGAATGTATTATGCGTCTCTTTTGTCATTCGCACAAGTTTGTACAAAGTTAGGTTCATAGTAAACAAAAGCTTTAAAATGAATGACCGTTCTCGATTTACTATAGAAAATCACAAATGTCGGCTGACCCCTGCCACATTCTATGGTTTTGATCTTTGTATATTCGTAAATTTCAGCGGTAGAATTTGTTGAATCTTATGGTTTAGATATCAATTAATGATTTGGGATGAAACATTTTGCTAAATATGAATGTTTATTTTTTCACATTTTACCGGGGCCCATAAGTGCACTCGTTCTTTTTCCATTATATAATCTTATAAATATAATATATTGAAGCCCTACCATACCATCAGGTGTATTGATTTACATAAACTAGAATCTGAAGATGCAACCTTATGTTTTTCCTTCATGATTTTCCCCTACATATTACTGTTTAAAATTTGATTACCTACCATGGTTCAATCATACCCAAGGGGTAAGGATTTTAATAAATGTGAATTTAGATTGGCTGATAAAATAAATGCTTCCAAAACAAATATTACTGTTAGAACAAAAAGACATTTTTCAAAGATTCTTGAGTTTATTCCAATTACATTTCCATCGCCCATAGTAGCCTTGCCTTAATTACTTGTGGGGAATATTTTGATCAAAACCACAATAGCATGCACACTATCTAAAAAGCCTTATACAAACATGTGTTGGAATTAATCTGCTCTATGGAAAAAAAAAGAGTTTTATTTTTTCACATGTTCTTCTAAGAAACACTTTGATCTGGATAACCTTTTAGGGGTACATCTCCGCAGAAGGTAATAATTTAAAGAAAAAACATAAATCTACACTACCACAGAAAATGTTCATATGATTTCCATCTTTCAGCCCAGTGATTTTTATGAAGAATTTTAAAATTGCATATCCAAGTCTTTATTATTTCTAACTATCTCCCCTAAAAAGAGAGATTTGCCCTTCATTTGAACAAAGTTGAATTCTGTTAATCTTGGAATATTTTTTTCCTAGAATATTTTGCAGTGGCCCAGGCCATTGGTTTTTTAGATGAAGGATTACAATGTGAAAAGAAAAAAAAAACCACATACATTTGAAAATGATGACATGAGCCTTCGGTTCATTATCTTTGAGCATGATCATGAACTAATGTACTGTATGTGTATGCATTCATTGAATTTGAAGAAGTTTACCAATAGAGTTTATGCAACCAATCCGAAAGTTGCAGTATTCTGCATTGCAATCGCATTCTTGTTGACATTGTTCCCCATACCCAGGGTAACGACACATAATCTTGCAATCCTGACCTATGTATCCAGAAGGACACTCTAAAACGAATGAAAATAAAATCTTGTCAAAAGTGTTTCAAGAATCCCAACAAAAAAATTGGTTTATTATTAAACATGTTTTGAAACATGAGTTACTATATGAAAAAAAAATTAAAACAATTGAAAGTTACCTTTATTTCTTTTCTTTTGGTTAAGATTTGCAACTCTTCAACACTATATTTAAAATATCTCAAATTATTACCTTTGCATTCATCGGAAATCTTATCGTAAAAATACCCAGAGCATGTGCAATTTCCATCTTCGTCTCTTCTTCTATAGAATAAGATTTAATTTATTTTTTTTATTAAAAATAAACATAATAATTGAAATTTAATTTTTTATAATTTAGCTTTTACAATGCAAAATATCAATAATGTCAATAGTTATTATGGTTATATACTTACTTCAGACAATTTGCAGAGATTATCTGAATCGTCGCATTGAAAACAATACAATATTTTACACCAAAGGCTTCCATTGTGTGATTGGCAGTAAATATTTGTTAAAATTGATATTTTTTATTACTTTATAATTAGATTGATCGAGGAAACGTGTCAGATAACTGTGTTTGTATAAGGGAAATTAAACGGAATAGTCATAAAAGGAAATAGAGAATGCCAAATTATTGAATGCAACATATTTACCATTGTCATGGTGCACATACACTGTAATTTAGTTATTTCTTTTTACTCTGTATATCTGTGTAACATTTTGCATTAAGTCACAAACAGTATTAATTAAAAAATACAAGCATTCATGTTGGTTTACATTATTTTTTTAACTAGTTGTGTTATTGCTTTAGTCTCAAACCTTCAGGGATTTTTCGTTTCCTTATTCGTAATTCTGTCCGTACCAGGAGACACAAGTCCTAAATATATATCTCTTCTGCTAGGACAAGTCTGAGACTTTTTATTATAGATATACTTTATATATACATGCATATATTTAGTTGTCAGTTGATTTTGTTTACCGGATACTAATGAAATCGTCTTTTGCTAGATTTCGAATTCAATGAATCTATTCCTTTTTTCGTCTCAATAAAAATAAAAAACAACACATTGCACTTTATTGTAAATGTGCATATATTTGATAAAACTTTTTAAAATCTAGTTGCCATTTGATTTTACATGTACTTAAAAATAACATGCATTATTAACTGTATAATGAGACAATGATAGTTGATCAAAGAAAATTTTCGTCAAAGCATATAATTGAGGATATTCTTTTAAGTCTGTTTACAGAGTATTTCTGAATTCTAAATTAAATCGCCTGTTTTATTTCTATATATGAATATACAATCTGGCTTTTAAATTGGTAACAGGAGAACGATGGGCCTTACAGGTCACCTGATTATTATGTAACAACTTTTCAACAATTGAATTTGGTTCGTGTTTTTAACAAGAGGCCACGAAATTCTTAAGTTCAAAAGAAGCACCATTGCTTATCATTGCCATGCTAACTTTTGTTACCTAATACCTAAATGTAGATCAGAGTAACAAAGAGAAAATGCATTCCCACATTATAACAAGTTTTGCACCCAACCTTACATAAACCATTTTGGAAATTTTATCAAAAGTTTTATTTCATCATAAATGGTTCATTAATACCAAATAGAAAACTTCAAAGCAATAATTTATTTCCACATGATGTAACCCCTACCCCCGTACGCATGACCCAGGGCACCTGAAATAAAGTATTTTGGAAAAGAGCATTTCTTCAACAAGAACACGAACTTTGATTATAGGCATAATACCAGGAGCAAAGGGAAAAAATCATGCATGTTTACTATTTAATCATTAGAGTCCCACTTTATCATCAGAACCCCTGATCTTGAGACCCTAAAATTCACAAATTTGGAAGAGGCATCCTTTTGCATCATAACTATGTACATCATCTTTTGGTTTAATACCCAGGAGCAGGGGTGAAAATTTTCAAAGAATTTATACAGTTTCACTATATAAGCAATATAGCCATGTCCTACAGTGGCTGGAACGTTATTGTTGACAACTTACACGAACGATCACGTTACACGAACGATTCCGCACGATTAACGCACGATTAAACCTGTTACACGAACGGACTTTCACGTTCACGATTCTACACGTTACACGATCTTGCACGATTGTTAACGCAAACGCACGTTTCTTCACTCAAAATTGTTCAAAATATTTAGGAATTAATATTTTCAAAACGAAATAAAGCTTAATACTTAATTAAGATTTCAAGGAATTATTAATATTATTTCATAGACTTTGAAAAAAAACGGAGAATGATATTTCTGTAACAAAATATATGCAAGACTGAATATTTCAGATTAAAAATAATTATTTCTAAAGTAATTCTCCGATCAAAGAAAACGGATTTTGTTCGTTCTATTAGATTAGACGATATACATGCATGTGGGTCGTATAATTTGATTGAATTGGATATCATGATATGCAGAAAGGGAGATACGATTAAACAAATATGGCAGCATTAAATGACTTAATTTATAATTACAAATTTTATCCTTATGTTTCCATTTATTCCATTTATGTCTGATAAACAAGCCAATTATTCAACTTTTTTATTTGCAGAAATTTAAATTTAGTAGTTTCAAATAATCTCAAGAGATAAACACAGATAATCAAAACTCCCGAAAATCATGCCGTGTGCATGTATATTTGTCGACTAACTATACAATGTAGCAATGGTAGCATTGAGAAATGTTTATTTGTTTGTAAAAAAAATATTTATTTTCAATGAATTGATTTCAAGATTATCTTGACCACAATAAGAAATAAATAATAATTAAATCAGATTTTTCAGAAAGGCGTAAGAGATCTAAGTACGGTTTATCACAATATTAATCGCGCTATTTGACGAGAACTTAATATTGTACGACTTACTATATTGCTTGTTTACGAGCGATAATTAGTTCGTTCTGTATTCTATTATGTAAATTGCGCTTTTTCATTTTATTTTGATTTTATTTAATTAATTAAGAAAAACAAACAAGGGAAATACTTATTTTAGAAATAACATTCCGATAAAAACTTACAAAACGAAATTTACATGATTCTAAACGCACGATCTCGCACGATTAAAAACGCACACGATTGAGTCTGATACACGAACGATCTATCACGTTAAACGAACGATCACTCACGATACACGAACGATTCTACACGATTGGTTTGTCAACAATAACGTTCCAGCCACTGTAACACTAAAACCCTTACCCTGGACCCATAGATTCACAATTTTGGGTGACGTAGCCTTTTTAAAAAGTAATTATGCAGTTGGTTCGTTAATTAAATACCCAGGAGCGAAAAAAAAAAAGATTTTCAAAGAAATAGTCCATTTTCAATACCTGTATATAGTGTATATAGTCCCACCCTAGCCCTAGCCCCAAGCTCTAAAACGCATGACCCTGGGGTCATGAAATTCACAATTTAAAAGAGACAGCCTTATTTAACATGACATTAACAAACAGAAACTAAATAAGCAAAAAAGTCACGCAAAGCTAAGCATATCGTTGCAAAGAACATATCCAGCAATCAAGACAGCATTCGATATTGATTCCTATGCTTATTGTGTCACTTCCGTTTCGTAAAGGACATAATCAACAAAAATACCAATAAAAAACCCACACACACAATACTGACTTTATATACTCCAAATAACTGTTTAAGGAGGAAGTGATACTCCTTATTTTCTTAATTCTATCTATCAGTCGTACGCTTGAAAAAATGTATATCCTTTAGCTTTTTATGAAACCACCTTCTATTTCATTAACATTAAACAAGAGAACCATTCACTTGCCATTGATTAACTTTAATTACTGCAAATCATTGAAGTTCATTTTACTTATGCATATGCATTAACATTTAGAATCCATGAAAAAAAAATATAATATATAAAAAAAGAAGAAATCGAAATTTGGCGTACACATATATATGAGTATATCAGCATATCACCTTTTAAAAATAGTGTAAGCATGACATTTCTTTATAAACTAATTCTAATTTTGAAAAGAAAAGTATTTTAAGTAAACATCAATATTTCTCATTATTTAAGACTGTAAACGATGAAAATGAATTACTCATAACACAAAAGACATTGCTTTGTCTGAAAAAGGTTTACACAGTGAGAAGTATTTTAATTGGGGGGGGGGGGTCTTTACATGCCTTTCTTATTTCATAGAGCATGTTACACCAATCCTATTGTGAAGTTCTAAAAAAAAGTTTGTTCTTAACTTTTACATCCTGACTTTGGCGGACACTTAACATAATGTTCATTGTACTAGGATTTATATAAGTAGATGGTATTTTTTTTAAAATTTGAAGTGGAAAGTAGATGAAAACCAACACTTTTTTTCGTGTACTGAAAATATTTTTTTGTTCATCATGACTATTTTTCCTTATAACGCTATTCGAAAGGATATGCACAAGAAAATATCATTCTTGCGTTTATAAGTATTCCTAAAGACAGAGCAGTTATCTCCAGTCTGGAAAATGATGTCGCAAGAAAGAGACAAATTTAATGTATATCTAGCAAAAATAAGTTGTGACCAAAATATGTAACTATGGTTTTAACCTTGCTATTATCTATGCACGTCAATTAAAAAAAATACAATAGTAAAGGAAATAACTTTTTCTTAAATCAGGTTCGAGCTTTATGATGACATGCTTTATGTATAACACAACAGCTGTAAGTTATGCTGATTGATACTAAACTTAATTGAAAACCTGACGTGTAATGATAAACTTTAACAAAATGATATATTCTCTCATTTAAATGCACTTGTTATTTCACTTTATACTTATTTTAAATTAAATACCTACATTTATTCTAATTAAGAGAAAAACAGTCAATCTGAAATATACACTTCCACAAATGTTTTATTGCACTTGCATTCTTCAGCTTTTTTATTTTTAATTTTTTTTTTTATTAAGTTATCTGCTTACAACTATCCTTATACACTTTTTTTGGACAAGTGACATTTTGAATTAATGATTCATTTCTGGATTGTCAGATTTTTCTTTTTCAAAGAAATCCAACTTGTCGAAGTAATTATTTTCAGAGGAAGAAATGTCTTTCCTGTCATCTCCTACTTTCAGCCCATCAATATCCTCGTAAAAGTTTTCCTTTGCTTCTTCATTTTCCTTTGACTTATTCAATTTCCTCTCAAGACCTTGAATCTCCCGTTGTTGTCTTTGAACGATCTTGGGGTTGGCCTGATGAACCTTTTTCCAGATCATTCTTCCCCCAATAGCGAATAGCCAAAATGCCAGAAAAGCTATAATACCGATCAGAATTGGTGTTAACTGTAACTCCATATTTAAATTTTCGTTCTCATCCCTAGATTTTGTAGAGTTTTTTTCTTGGAACACCTTTTCATCATTGGGTGAATTGAGATTCAGGCCTGCATACATATCATAGAAAAATAAATTTTTGGTCTGTACATGTATACATTTTTTTGTTTATAAAGGATTGCACTAAAACCTCTTTGATATCCAGGGCGTAAAAGAAACAAACAATCATTGTATTAATTTCACCTGACTTTTTCATTCATTTTGACGAAAAATTAAGATAACTGACAATTATCTGATATACCCTACTAAAATAATACGAGGGACGTTCAATGAATATTGTCATCAGCTCGATGACATCAAACATAGAAACATAGATAGCCATTAAGCTTGAGTTTCTCTAATTATTGAATCTTTAAAGAGTTGATAACAGAAGCTGGAAAACAAAGGCTAGTCAAGACACTGCATTTAAAATGAATAGTCAAGAATCAGTAAACTAGAGTGAAATAAAACGCTCCTTTAAAACTGCCTTAAAACTTCTTCAGAATCCTAAAGATATATAAACTGAAATATTTGAAATTTACAGCAACCAATGTCTGTTTTATACACGCATGAGCAGGTGTATTTCAATGAACAAGAATGATAAATTGGACATCAAAAATGGGTCCCGACCTTGGACATTCAACAACCGATGTATATTTGCAAAAATTCAACAAATTATCACTGAGTATGTTTGATCGACTTTAAGGCACATAGCAAATTTGATGGACGTCATTCTGGGGGTAGTTCACACTGTTACAAAGAAACATTTGATAGTAAAAAAGTTTAATACTCAAAGCTCACCAAATATTTTGAAAAATGGGTGAAACGACAACGTGTAGGAATATCTAGCCAGTTATTTAAAAAAAAATTTAAAAAGTGTACTTATCCACTTTTGTCTGAAATTAAAACAGATAATAAAACTTGAATACATCTTTCTTTAAACCCTCTGATACACTTGACAAAACAGCAAAGGCCTGAAAAGAGCAAAGAAAAGAAAGAGCACACAAACAGATTTTTATGCTATTTTCTATAATATTAGTGGTCTTGTTGTTTAAATTCTTATTGGTAGAGTAATTTCAATTTCTGAAAGAGTCTAAAAAGCAAAATCTTTGCAAAAAATGAAAGGTTTATGAGAGGAAGGAGCAAAAATGAGGAATCTACTACATTAAATTTCAGTTAAGGGTTCCCGAGGTTATAAAGAAAGTCAATTTTTTGTCACACTAACAACATTGGATAACACTTTCAACCTTTGACTTGTTTTATTTCCCAAACTTGAAAAACACCTTTTAGAAAGAAAAAAATAAGTACAGGAAATCATAGGATCTGCCATATTCCAGTATTCTAAGGGTAATATTTATACTCAAAAATGTGTTCTAACATCAACTAAAAAATGATAAAAATGTTACGGACATGTGTTTTAATTACAAGCGAATATTTTAGTTTAATCATTAGGTCTAAATCATCAAAAAGCGTTTTTTGTTTCTTTCCGAGCACCGATGACATTATCTATTGATTGATTGATTGTTTATTGTTTAACGTCCCCCTCGAAAATATTTCACTCATATGGAGACGTCCCCGTGTGCCGGTGGAGGGGTTCAAATTTTGACCTTTACTCGGCACTCAGTGCCATCGAGCAGAGAGGGATCTTTATCGTGCCAACACCTGTCGTTGACACGGGGTCTCATCCGAAGGACCCGTAACTTAAACTTCAAAATGCCGAGCGCATGGCGAAGGAACGGTTGCTACCCATTTTTTATTGACTTAGTTCAGTCGCGGCTGAAATACGAACTCATGACCTCCCGATCACGAAGCGAGCGCTCTACCGACTTAGCTACCGTGAACGGTCATAATTTATTGAACGTCCCTCGTATTTGAATTATCGTATACAACTATATTTTACAATTTGAATATCTGTGTTAGAGTAACTTACCGAGACTCCCTGTTGATATGTCACAGAACTCCTGTGAACAGTTACATTGTTCCTGACAATATTTGCCATACCCTGGATACCGACATGCCATGGAACAGTTTAAGCCGATATACCCCGGACGACATTCTTTGAATAAAGAAGAATTAAAGTCAGATACATGTATATTGGTAACTGATGAGAGTTGAAGTTTTATTTTCTCGTCTGTGCAAACTCCAAAAACTTTGAACTTATCAGAAAGGTCTAATTAAAAGTAGAAATTTTTATCCCGTAAAAGCATTTTTAGATACCAATGTTTTTTTAACATGATATAAAGTTAGAAGTGATTTATGGAGCTTTGCAAAGAACCTTGAAGCACATTGAGAGACATATAATGAAAATTGTTGCATGAAAATATTTAATTTTCAAGCTTCATTTAAAGACTTTTCAAATTAAATTATAAATTAAAGAGTTGTCCTTCTTGGCTAAGGCTCGGAATCACAAAACATTCGAAGGTTAAAAAGGTGTTTTTTTATCGATTAATCACGAAATAAAAACACTAAACTAAATGAATAATTATAGAGGATATAATTATAAACAACAAAACAAGTGGTTCTTTATTCTTTCTTGGTGAAATATGCAAGCAAATAGCCGTATATTAGACGTTAATACATTTAACTTGAATTCGTTTTGGAGGATATTTTGAAAGAAAATTAACTACATTGCGTTTCCTTTTGTATTAACATATTTTGACTCTTTTTATATCTTCTACGTACCTTTGCATTCATGTGAAATTTCCTCAAAGAAAAATCTCTAAATTAAAATTCATCTTCAATATGTATACAAATATCGAAATTGAAACAAATAGTATTATGGCATGTATCAGTGACTCTTTTGGCTTACAGACTAATGCTTTTAAAAACAGTAGAAAAAAGAGTAGTCGCAGTAGTGCTCACTGAGTCTACAAAATGATACCTCGCCTCCCCACTTGATTATTACAGAAAAATCAATATAGGCATAGAGAATACAGACGGAGGGACAGAGGGACAAAGGGACGAGTAGATTGACCGAAGGACGGACAGATTGATGGATACCCAAACCATTGTATAACCAACTTCTTTTTAAGTGGAGAATAAATATACATTTATATTCCGAAAATGCAAATATTATTGATAAAACCACTGAGCATTTACAATACTGTTTTATAAATAATCGAATACATACGGGTTGCAACCTCCTTTGGCAGCTCCAATATGATAGAAAAATGTTAAAGAAAATAAAATGTACATTATTAGACACATTTTCATGTTTACATCCCATTTACCTTTCACAGATATTAAATTGAACTTTATATACTACGAGGGTGTGCCTTTTCATGTGACTTAGTCATTTTAATATAGATAGTGTGATTCAATTGATTCTTTAAGGGCTATAATAATCTACTTTACTTCCTTAAGAGATGTATTCACATTCAGATTGTATCCCGTCTAAACCACATATCACTGTACATGTTCCTTGTTTTTTTTTTGTACACTGCAATTAGGTCTAGACCTGCCAAGAAAACCAGAGACAAAATCTTACTCTGGTCATATTTTACTAAATAAATGATAAGCAGTGTCAACTACATGTATTACCCGATTAACGGGTTACTGTCGAACAATGCTAATATCTAAATGTTCATAAACATATTTACCTATATATTTTTACAGATTTGACCTAGACCAAAAGTTCCCAAAAAGAATCGAATTGTTTCGATAATTTAGCACAGTTTATATGATTGAAAGCTTTGATTAAATGGTTTATATAAGTTTTGAAGACCTGACTTATTATTTGCTCATGTAAAATCTTAACAAAATTCCATCATAGACTAATAAATCTTGGACGTATTTTAAAAGAATAGCTGATTCGAAATTTGTAAAATTGAAGTTTTAAATGCTTTTATAAATATTTATTTTGTTACAGTAAAATAATTTTCAAAAGCTTCAAAGGAAGTTTTTTTTTAAATTCTAACAAAAATAGTTTCAAAATGCCTTATAATTAGAAAAAAAAACAGCAATGTATTTGAAATTATTATTATGATCATGCCTAGTGTGACTGGTCGGCAGGGGATGCTCATTTCTCCGTGGCACTTAATCGCAGTTCTAATGTTTAGAGGTCCGAGTTTTTTCTGCTCCAATCTTGTATAGTATAATGGACTTTTTATCTTCAATAATGTTACTTTTCTCCAAAAATATATTCTATTCATAAACAGTTGCTATATCGATATCTCCCTTATTCTTCCCTATTCGACAACAAGAATATGAACGATTCCTTGAAATGGGCATAGCTCTTAAATATCCTCTAATAATAACAACAATAAATACCAGCACCTAAACTGTAATGACACACATTTCCTTGTTTCCGTTCTGTCTGCACATTGAATAGCCCTTCAATATATCCCTCAATTGTTAAATATAGAATAATTTTATTGATATATTGCACGATTTGTGTTTGCTGCAAACTTTATTGACATATTTCCGAAATCATTTTTTGATGTCAGTTTGATAAGGTCAGATTTCCCCTCCGAAATATATCCCTTTCATTTAGTTGAGTGTTCATATCTTTTAACCCATATATATGTTTTAATACATATTCCTTTAAAGTCATCATTTCGTAAATTCTATGGTCAATACAATGACTTTGTCAGAAAGTACAATTTATCATTGAGTCATATGCTGACTGACGTTTTTCATACCAATTGTTAGTCCATTATTTATACACTGAATTGACGACGATTTTTCGGTTATTTCCTGATCATGACAACGAGCACACAGCGGGTGTGACCGGTCGGCAGGGGATGCTCACTCCTTCATGGCACCTGATCCCACCTCTGATGTTTCGGAGGTCCGTGTTTGCTCTGCTCTTATTTTTGTATATTGTTTAATGGACGTTGAGATTGAATACTGTTCGTTATTTCCATATCCTTCTTGATCACTAAATTGTTCAGATTAAGAAAAGATGTATCATAATGCCATCTCCATTCAATTATATGAAAAATAGGGAGATAATGAACAGAATTCAAGTTCACAAATCCATAAAACAATACAATAATAGGAGCAGAGAAAACAGGAACCTCCAAAATATCAGAGACGGGACAAGGTGCCATAGAGAAGTGAGCATAAAGTAAGATAAAAAAAACATATGTGAATTGATCTTGTTAAGAAAAAAATATATGGAAAAAGTTTAGGCAAGGAATATGATTAGCGAGTCATTTTAGAGTTTGACGTGAGATAAGGATAAACGCTAGAGTGAGAAACACGTTAGAATAATACTGATGATTGGTTTCCAATTGCTTTTAGCAATCCATATGCAATCAAGATGAGACGAAAGTTTATGAAAAACATACACCGATGATTCAGCATTATTTTATTTTAGATTATAAAATCGCCCATAAAATAAACATAAGAATAATAACAAATAGTATAGAATATAATAATATAATTTTTAACATAGAGAATGACACTTTTTCGCCTATTATGCATGTATAAAAATCATCATTATTATGGCATGTATATCATCATTTAAATCAATTTTTCTTTGAAAATGTACATCCTTGAGTATTTTCAATGTTTTGAGTAGCAACGTAATATCGGTTCATTCCTTACAATGTTACAACGTTAGCCATTACTTTTTGTTAAAATACATATCAAGTTAATAGAATATTTTCCGAAAAAATAACAAAACATGTTTCTTGGATGATAAAGGCCACAGCTTTAATAATTGTTTCAATGACAAATGTCCGACAAGCATTTAACAATCATTGGGTGCCACACACCTAAATCGATAACGGGCATTATGGCACCTCTCCTTCTAGGGTAATCCATAGCAAGGCGTAACAATATTTATAAATCGACTCCTAGGGTACCCCTTAGCGAGTCAGCTGGGATGTGTAATTGCCTCCTAGGGGATTCCTTAGCGAGGCTACTACCTGTTATACCGAACAGGTAAGCCCACTATACCGAGTAGGGCAAAATAACCACCCGTTATATCGAACGGGGTACGAGGTTACTGTTATACCGAACAGATCCCTCACACAAGCTCCTAGTGCACTCCATAGCAAGCTTGTATTTGCTCCTAGGGTAGCCTTAGCGAGCCACAACATGCTCTACCAATCACGTAAAATAGATAATCATACATAAACAATAATTAATATAATGATGACAAATGTCTCTGCTTGTCAGACATATCCGCCACTCAGAGATGTCTATACATCTCTGCCACCCAACACATAAAATTAAAGAGGAGATAAAAGCTTCAATGGCTGATTGAAAAATGTTTGTTATAATTGCATTTCCCACGTCAGACATATGGACTCCGTCAGCGCGGTAAAGCCCCTCCTCCAAAAACTCTATATCAGGGTGATTAATAACTCTGCCGTTTACTGATGCGACCGCCCTACGAGCAGCTACTATTAACTCTTTTTCGCTTCCGTTCGACGGAACATATGTCACGACCCCCTATCCATTTTCTGCGCGGAAGTATATCAGACCATATCATTTTGCAACTTGGTAATCTGTTTGCCATTAAACATATGTCGTGCTCTATTCTGGTACATAATACCTCGCTCTTAATTGATGTGATATCATCCCCCCCCCCAGGTGGATAATTAAATATGCAGGAGGAGGACATTTAGTTAACTTTTGCTCGATAGAGTCAATGAGCTCCCCCCATTTCATGCCCCTTTTGCCAATCCAGGTTACCTGAACGCCTAAATTTTCCAAGCGTAAGTTAGTAGTCAGATTCGTAACCGCCCATCTACATGCCTAGTAAACAATTGAAGATCCCACAATTCATACAAGGTGTTCTAAAGAAGCAATAAATAATATGGTAAATACAACTCATCTACAAATCTCACATCATATCTATTCTAATATACTTAAGTAATGCGCTTGATTTCCAGCGTCCCAATAATTGGATTTTGTCATTTGATACCCCTTTTAATGCAAGACACGTTGCACCTCCAATTCTAAAAGAATGTGATTTGTAAGCAGAATTCTGGTGATTAATTTTCGACAGGGTTTTTCTCAGGACTGCGTTAAACTGATATCTAGTTACCGGGAATTTATTGCTATGCACGAATAATGAACCCTCCACACGTGTTCTCACTGCAAGAAATTTTTAGTTATTTACTGGGCAAATTTTTCTTTGGCGAATAGATGGTAACAAAATATTGATACCTTTTCCTGTTTGATCAGTTTTAGAGAATCTTACAGAGATAGAGACGCTAGGAACGCTCTTTGACATACAAAATTTTATATCCTTAATAGTTAAGGGTACATGGGCACAATGCTCCGAGGTATACACTAATTCACCTACCCTAAATAGGCCGTAAAAGGCCAAGGTAAAAACTGATCTAAACAAGAATGTTTCATATTCCGAATAACACACTTGATTTAGAGCGCTACAGATTTTAGCAAGAAGCTCTTCCGAATTAGTTGCTCTGTGGTCTTTTGTTTTATTTAATCGTCGCAACCCTTCTAAAGATTTCCTAACTATGAATAAATCTGCCGGGTCGGTCCATTGTCTCAGTTTATGTACATAGCTAATACCCGAAATATAAGATGAAACTGTTGATGCTGCTGAGCCCTTGCCTGAATGATATGCTATATATAACAGAATATAGTTTGAAGGGACTGGCCATTTATCAGGTAGTTTTGTCAATATTCTAAAATCTTTAAAATTCTTTAAAGCTTGTAAGTATACAGCCCTGGTATTTGCTGAAATGCTTGCATCTAACAATCGAGTGATTTCGTCTCGAAAATAGTCC